CAGCTGAATGTGGGAAATGTCTGTTGAAAAGCATTACTTCAGACCTGATGGCTCTTGTCAGTGCTGTTAAGTCTTTGATGACCTACTTACACATGTAAAGCATCCAGCGCTTCCATGAAACACCCCCCCCTTCACAGGGTCTGTCCTCACATTTCAGCACCTGAGCGGCTGTTGGGAACACAACAAGCTGCCCACAGAGTAAAATTACCACCACGGCAGCCACCAGGGTAAAGAGCAAGCTGGCCTCAGCAGTATAGTGGCTTTACTTCCCTTTTTAAAGGGTCAACTGGCCATTGGCAATCTCGCCCACCCAGCTGTGCCTCGTGCTGAGGAAAGAGCAGGAAGGCAGATACACAAGGGCTGACTAAGGTTCAACAGTGGTGGTGGAGAGAGAATCCTACATGCAGTGGGACTCTAGTAATTACAAAGGTCTAAGTTACAGCTGCATATGATAATATTGAGGGTTAAATCAACTGCAAGTGTAGATTTGGTGGAATGGCTCACAGGGCATGCAATTGTCATATGGCTCTTTTGGTAGGTGGCAATTGCAAATGTTAGCAGCCATGAGCTGTGTTGTGAGTACCACCGGTTTAGATGATCCATCTCGTAGAATCATAGGATCCAAGTGCTTTGCATGGACAGGCTTGTGACACTGAAGGACCTTAATAGCATCCTCAACTTTAAGGCACTCTCTTTTCCTGTCTAAATTAACTGAATCTTCCGTCTTCCAGGATTTCAGTCACTGTAAAAACATAACATAAGTTCTATGCGTCCAGTCTTGATTCTCAGATATTCCCAGCAATCTGCCTAGTTTTCCTTTCACTCCTGCTTCTTCATAGACTTCTCTGACTGCACCACCACCCGGTTCTTCTTCTAGTTCCATTCCTCCACCTGGAGCAATCCACTGATCTGGATACCAACTGCTGCTTACTAGCAGAACCTCGTCTGCCCTCTCACTGTGGAAACACAAGCACACCGCTTGCTTCTTAAAGCCCTCCTGGTCAACTTGAAATTCATCACAGAGGCAGAGAAACTTCCATTTCTGGCACGCCTAGTCCTTTTAGCTGGAGATGTCAGGGATTGAGCCTAGGGCCTTCTGCATGCAAAGCAAGAGGTGCTTCCATTGAGCCATGGCCCCTCATTTCATGAAATTCAGTGTTTCTTTTCTTCTTTTTTTGGAAATTAAACACGTCACTTTTATTAAACAATATGATTAGTCTTAACATAACGATGTCGATACAAAATTATCTTGAAGAAAACTCCAATCGCAAAACTTCACAGGGATGCATTCAAAGCCATGATTCGAGGCAAGATAAAAAAATTTTAGCCCCTGGTTTTGAGCAACCCCCTCCAGTCTGGCCAGCATTTCACTCAGTGTGTTGGCTGACTTTGTTTTCTATGGCTTTAAGCCGATGATCCAAGGCAGCCAAGGCAGTAATTATCTCGTCCTTCATAGACTGTAGGTACTCTATCACCTCCCTGAGAGAAACAGGGTTGTCTCGTCCAGAGGCACTACTTTCACCACCACCTGCTACTGCAGCTCTACGGGTGGGCTGTGGTTCAAGTTGTTCCCCTTGAGCCAAGGGGATCCCCTCTTCTGCAGGAGGGGGCTCTGAAGCGGCTGGTCCCTCCTCCCTTTCCTCCTCCAGCTGACGTGCCCGCTTGGCAGGGAGTCGTGCACTAAGGGCCGCAGCAGCCTGGGACTTCTTGTGTTGAATATCCCGGAAATGGATAATGAGTCTTGCCACGAGGGAAAGATATTCCTCCCTTGACTTGGGACACCACACTGCTCAGGGAGGCAGGGGAACGCTTGGCCCCACCCCTTGTGGCCGTTGCAGCTGCCGTTGATAGCAGCAGTGGCCATAACTTTTTAAAGAGCCCCTAATGAGAGCTGGGGGAGCCAGAATGACCCAATCGGACATCACACGCGAGAGGTGGAATTTGCCCCTACGCATCCAAGGCCACCACCCCGGGGCTCAGGGAGGCAGGGGAATGTTTCGCCCCCACCCCTTCCGTGGCTGTTGCAGCTGCCGTCAACAGCGGCGGCGACCATAACTTTTTAAAGAGCCCCAAAAGAGAGCTTGGGGAGCCAGAATGACCTCTTGCATGTGGTAGAATTTGCCTCTATGCGAGAGGTGGAATCGGCCCCTACGAGTCCAAGGCCATCACCCCGAGGCTCAGGGAGGCGGGGGAACGTCATGGATTCTCTGTTGGCATTATGGATTCTCTATTGGCAATTATGTACTCCATTATCCCCTATGGGCAAGCGACCTCTCCATTATTCCCTATGGGCAGTCATGGATTCTCTATTGGCGATTTTGGATTCCCTATGGGCAATCGCTGTCCTTAGTTTTAGTACTTCCCTGGAATTCCGCATCATGCTGGTACTGACTTAAAAGAGGAACCACCCAAGGTCCAAAGAAACCTTCTTTAGGAGGTAGGGTTGCCAGGTCTGGGTTGGGAAATACCTGGAGACTTGGGGGTTTAGCCTGGGGAAGGTGGGGTTTGGGGAGGGGAGATACCTCAGCAGAGTATAATGCCATAGAATCCAGCCTCCAAAGCAACCATTTTCTCCAGGGAAACTGATATTGGTCATCCGGAGATCAAGTGTAATAGCGGAAGATCTCCAGGTGCCACCTGGAGGATGGCAAACCTATTAGGAGGGTCTTTGCAACTGAAAAAGAAGAGTTGGATTTATACCTGCCCTTTCCTTGGAGTCTCAGGGCAGCTTACAGTCTTCTTCCCTTCCTCTCCCCACACCAGACACCCTCTGAGGTTGGTGGGGCTGAGAGAATGGGTCGTGAGAGAACAGCTCTGAGAGAATTGTGACTGAACCAAGGTCACCCAGCTGGCTGCAAGTGGAGGAGTGGGGAATCAAGCCCGGTTCTCCCAGATTAGAATATGCTGTTCTTAACCACTACACCAAATTGGGAGTGCTTTTTTCAAATCAGCTTGAACTATACTCTTCTGCAGAGAAGGATTCACTACCTCCTGGAGCCACTGGACCTGACTTGATATCATCAAGTGAGGAAGGGAATGGGTTGGGCTTAGACACAGCAGGCCGCTTGTCCGTTCAATCAGGCCTCAACTCACTGAAAGAACAGCTAGGACCGTGATGCAGTCCAGTAGCCTCCTCAGACTCAGCTGAACCAACCAAGACATCTAAGTTGCTGTAGATGAACACATGGAACAAATCAAGCTGCCTTCACCTGAATCAGACCATTGGTCCATTAACATCGGTATTGTTTATTTAAGGCTGGGAGTGGTGCTCCAGGATCTTGGATCTTTCACATCACCTCCTACCTGGTCCTTTAAACTGGAGATGCCTGGGACCTTCTGAATTCCAAGCAGATGCTCTGCCATGGAGCCACTGCCCCCCTCTCCCCCACAGAGGCTGCAATGTGAACAATTTCAAAAATGCATTACACAGTGGGTCTGTAAGATCAGGGTCTACATCCTCAAGGGCTCAAACAAAAGCCCCCCCAAAAAGTGTGGCCAGATGGCATTGCAGAGTCGCCCTTGCATTGCCACCATCACTGCTACAGAGTAGGCCAGATTATATGCACTCAGCATGTTCTGCTGCATTCAGTTTTCCTCCAGCCAGCATGGTGGGTTAAGAGCAGCGGACTCTAATCTGGAGAACCGGGATTGATTCCCCAACTCCTTCTCCACGTGAAGCCTGCTGGGTGACCTTGGGCCTGCCCCAGTTCTCTCAAAACTCTCTCAGCTCCACCTACCTCAGAAGGTGACTGTTGTGGAGAGAGGAAGGCAAGGCGACTGTATGCCACTTTTCCTTAGGGCAGAGAAAAATGGGGTATAAAAACCAACTCTTCTTTGCCTTCTCCACGTGGCTCTGGATGCCCATCATTCCAAGCGCTGCATAAACCAAGGGGCATTCTTGGCCTCGTGGGCAGGAAGAGAGGTTCTTCAGAACAATTGTGTCTACCACCCGAGTCATCTTGGCCAGTGGTTTGCCCAGGGCAGTGACAGGATTGAAAGAGACATCAAGAAGCCTTCTGGATCTATCAGCCTCCGGGGACAGACCATCATAACCAGACCCCTGCTCTTCCAAGTGTTTGCGAGTCAAACTTCCTCATTACCAAGCCATGAATTGGCAGCCAGCATAGACAATGGTGCGTTGGGTGGACCAATGATCTGAATCAGTATAAGGCAGTTTCGTGTGTGTGCTTCATGCATATGTACACTTGAGTGGCCACTGAGTAAAGGAGGAGGATGGATCTCGGTGGACCCTTGGTTTCACCCAGCAGGGCTCTTATTTCCTTAATAAACTTGGGTAGTTTTAAATATATATATTTATATTACATACTGTTGTAAAGAAAAAGCAGCACAGAAGTCTCCTTATACAGAATAGTATAAAGGTTTTATTTTTTTTTCCTTTGTGGTTTATCTGACAGTTTTGTTTTTACAATATAGAAAAGTGTAATCTTTGAATAGGTCTAGTAAATATAAATTTAAATCTATTTTTTTAGATGTAAACCAGAACTAGAAAATTAACCCCAAGCACCCTCTCCCCCCCCCTCCCAAACTCTACTGACAATGGGTCTGACCCAAAAGAGATTTGTTTCTATGGGGGCTTTTGCAGCAATTCTGCATCCACTCCACTGAAACGGAGAGGTTATGCTGCAGGTGTGTCTCATAAACTGCTTGCAGCATCTTGATGCATCTGTACTGCCCGTTTTCTTCAGCAATTTCATGCAAAGGGCCGGGGGGTGGGTGGAAGGGAATAACCAAGCTAAATACTGGAGGAAGCTTGTTCTAAGAGAGAGACAGAAAACTAGATCTTTGATTGCACCTTCTTCAAATCTTTACACGCAATTCCGTCATACATAATCTACAACAGGAATCAAAACTTCACAAAAAGCTTTTTTTCTGCACACATATAAATACACATCACAAAAAAAAGGTGCAAGTTAGAATTAAGACACAGAATATTTACAAAAGTAAACACGGATTTAGTTCTAGACAAAGAGGATGCATGTTGCAATCTGTTTGAAAAATAACTTGATCAAGTATTATTTTATCCACTTACACTAATTTACATTTATACAATTGCTATCATACGGACGCATACGGTATCAGTAAAAAGGTGAGTCTTCATCTACTCTGGAAGGTAATGCACTGACTCGGTACCCTCGAGTCAGAGTTCTAATCATAAAACAATTCTGCTAAAATGAACCACAGCTCCCTTTTCAGGATTGTGAGTACATCTATGTAAGCCTGCTATGTGTATACATACACAGTTCCATAATAGTATATATGTGTACAGGTACACAGAGAAAATATAAGATCCCTTTTTGAACAAAAGGCCTGCAGTATTGTAATTACAGAAGAACTAAAATAGTCCAGCAACCATTTGCCAGTTCAAACATGGGGCTTATGTCCATTCAAGAGACCCTGAACAATTGGCTGCACTAAAAACAAAACAAAACCTCCATGCAATTTCGTTAAACATTTTAATAAGATTTGCTAGAAAGGTGGTTATTTCTAACAATCTCCATCCCAAGCAATGCTTTTCTGCTCTACCAAGAGGCCAACATGGTTAGTTTTTGTCTGCAGACGATGCCAGGCTGAAACACTGCATTGCTAGAATTTATTGTTAAAAGATAAGCCAACTTGAGGTGATATCAGAAATGCATAGGTGATTAGGTTTAACAGTCTCCCATCAACAGGCAGCTAGTTTGAACACCTCTCTGTTAACACTTCCTAAAAGACCTGGATGCTCTCTGCTGAAATACGTGGGGGTGGTGATTAAATGCAATTTCTTAAGACTCAGTTTACTGCAGATTTTCACCCACCCTAGTTGAACATGTCCAAATCTGCACTATTATCTAGGGTCAGCTCAGAACATCTGGTTCTCCCATGTCTATCTGACAGATTTTGCTGGACAGATACAGACACAAAAGGGCAAACGCCGTTTGCTTTAGATTTATTTCTGAATGGAATCCTTCACTGACCAATCGACTTCAGCTACAACCCCAACAGAAGCAGGAGCACTGAATCCAACGGACCGAGCAGTTCCAGTGCTGGACTATGGCCATCATGCTTACCCTTGTCAAACGTACATTACAAACACCGCCGTAATTAAAAATGCTTGGTTATAAACTGCACCCTCAGCTCCTCACTTAGCACAACTTAAAGCAACGCACACAAGTAGCTCCTGTGAAGAGAGTCGCCTCAACCCTTCCAGCCGTTTCCATGTATTCCCACCGAAGGCAGCTGGGATCCAGAGTGACTTCAAATACATCCCAAGGGGGATTTTTAAAATTTGTTTCTTTACAGAGAAGCCCACTCCCATCCAACCCCCAGGCTGTATCACTGACACTCTTTGGAAGTTCCCTCATTTTCAAAAAATGCTTTCCTGTGTGGCATGAGGATTTCTATTTAAGAAACTCAAGTGGCAACACAAGAACTTCTCTTGGACGCACAAAATTAGTTGTGTGTGGGTTTTGTTTTCTGGAGCCTGGCCAGTATCTATGGAGAGCTGATTGAGAGCCACCCAGTAAATAAAAATAACTGGACTAAAAATAACTGGACTAACCCTATGCTTTGTCCCCTATGCAATAATTTTAAAAGGGGGACCAAGACGTAAATATTGTGGAAGTGCATAAAGTTTAAAAGATTTTCAGGAGTTCTATATTGCAAATGCTACTGCAATTATGCTATTAAATGCTCCTATCAGGGTATCTCAGTGTTCCCTGGGGGTGACAATGAGCCTACCTGTGTAATGACAGTTCGATTCTCAAAAGATTTTTGTCTTTCTGTCCTTTGGAGCACTGAGAATTGTCTGAGAGAGAAGCTTGTCAAAATAAGCAAAATACTGATCTCTCGGAACCCAAACAGAAGCAGCTTATTACAATTTGGAACAGTACATTTAAAAGTGATAAAAGATTGTTTTATGTATTTCAGGCTGTTGCTAATTTTGACCCTGATTTATGCATAACAATACTGTACTTTCCTGTACCTAGTTCTGGTAATGTGTTATTATTCTTAATGTAAAACTCATAGTTCAGGACACTACAAACTGTGTTCCCCATGAAAGCAGAACTGTAGCCAGCAAGATAATTCTCAAGATTTGCATATCTTCCTGAAAAGCTTTTAGGAAAAAGATTTCTCCCCCCCTTTCACCATTAGCAAACCCACAGAGATGTACTTTTATTGACTCTAATGCAAAGCTAAAGCTGCATTGTGATGCTGATCAAATATATTTGAAGTATTTGTACAAGATTTTTTTATTGTCTCGGAACATCCAGTGATCTCAATGGGGCTTTCAGAGGAGATGCTCCCGATGGAAGGACTGTGGCTGACGTCTTGTCCCAGCTCCTTCCGCCCATACAAATTCAACACTAAAATTGCAAATAATAATTTAAAAGATTGCTTGAAGAACCTTTTTTCTAAAAGAGAGAAGAAAGCCATTGCAATTCTCCAAAGTTGGGAAGAAGACAGGTGCCCATCCTAAAAAGAAGAAAGTTAAGCTTAAAAAGGTACTCATTATTATACAGGTCTCTTGGTTCGATACTAACGTAAGCCAATGCGAACTAAGCAGCACCAAATGAAGAATGAAAGACTATCACTATCATCAGCTGCTGCGGCGAACCAGAAAAGTGTCCCCGTGCCTTTTAGTGTCCCCCGTTTCAGACCACGGCTCATTTTCAAGACAGTCAGCAGTTCATGGCACAAGCGTCACTTTTACTAGACTTTCCAGCTGCGTTTATGATTCTCATCAGACATCGTCCAAATTCCTCCAGGATCATCCGTTCTGCCATCGCTTTCGACTTCCCTGCCTTCTCGGCCTGCTCGGCTTGTGCAAGTAAGCAGTCACATGTTGCGTCGGTAACCTCCTTGGTGACAAATGTGAATGGCAACCTGGGAAGCAAAGAGCAAGGCCTGAGAATCTGCATGCAACACAAGAGTGACAACCAGATTTTTAAAAAGAAGTACAGAGGGTATCTGTAAGTAATAGAGGGCAACCTTGAGGGACATTTCCTATCTCCAGAGAGAGAGAGAGGCAGACAGACATCTCCTAGCAATGGGAGTACAATTCTTCAAACTCTGTGAATTTCAGTTAAGTTTTTGTACCTCTCCTGTTTCCCCGTTAAGATCTACGAATAGTTATGTATGCGCCATCATATTACAACAAACTAATGGCGACCCCAGCAAGGGGCTTTCAAGGCAAATGAAAAGCAGAGGTGGTTTGCCCCTTGTCTTCCTCTGTAGAGCCTCCCTTGGTGGTCTCCCATCCATGTCCCGATCCTTTTAAGCTTCAGAGATCTGACAAGATCAGGCGATACCACTGTGGAAGTAAAAATGAACCAGAGTGAAGATGTATTAGAATGGTGAAGTCATGTAGGCTAGGTGGGATGTGTTGTGACTGCAAGAATAAGTGACCTTGAAACTGGAACTAACTGGTCTGAATCAAGCAATGGCCAGCTGCAGAGAAAAGATACTAAACAGTCAGTTGCACTGGAAAATAACTTTAAGTTCTAGTTGTGCATGCTTATCTCAGGGGCTATAAATGTATCTGGGGAGAGGCAACATCCCCCCCCCCCGAGTTTCTGCTTTTGCTATCTCCTGTGATTGCACAACAAAAAATTAAACAGCTTTGGAAATTATTTTAGTGTCTTTCTTCAACACCATGCTGCCTTCCAAGATCTATGAATACAGACTTATTACTGATTTTTAACATCTCTTTCCAGATTTATAGGGACATTAAGCATTTAAGCCTGGGGGGGGAGAAAAGGCAGCCACAAGACGACAGCGCTGTGCTTTTTTCTTTGACTAGCAGCAGAAGCAAAGGAAATAAAGGTGCTGTGACAGAGAAGGGCTGGAGGGGCAGTGTCAGCGGGAATGGGTAGGAGAAGAATGCAGGAGGAGTGGCAGGCAGCCCCTTCACAAGTTATTGGCTCGCCCTCCTTCAGCTTGGTTTCTTTTGAAAACTCAACAAAACGTAGTCTGTCAACGCACCTTCCCCCTCCGCTGGACAGCACTGGGGCCGGCCTAGTTAGCAGGTCCGAAATCTGCGAGGACAGCTTTGTCTTGGCCGCCGTTTGTTGCTGGACTCGCACCTCGGCGGCATCTGCCAAGTGCATTAACGTCTTCCGCTCGGGGCTTTCTTCAAAATTCTTGCAGCCGATGCATTTACAGATCGAGGAACACATGATCTTTGCCTAGAAAAAAAGGAGAAACACAAGCAAAGGAAACATTGCTCTTGCGTATTTGTTGAGCTGTGTGGTTGCTGCTTTATACAAATGCATACCACATTAAGAAAGTTGATTCTTCTGAAATGTGGTATGGGAGGAGAGTTTTACGGATACTGTGGACTACCCCAAAACACAAATTAAGTGGCTTCTAGACCAAATCAAGCCTGAACTCCCCCTTAAAAGCCAAAATGACCAAACTGAGGTTGTCATGCTTTGGTCACATCATGAGAAGCCAAGAGTCACTGGAGAATACAATATTGCTAGGAAAAGTTGAAGGCAGCAGGAGAAGAGGAAGACCCAACAGGAGATGGATTGAATCAATAAAGGAAGCCACGAGGGCCCTCCGTTTGCAAGACCTGAGCAAGCCTGTTAACAATAGGACATTCTGGAGATCATGAATTCATAGGGTTACCATGAATAAGAAGCGACGTGACAACACTTAACATACACAAACCACCGTAAATGTTCAAAATAGCGACAAATACCTTTTGTAATGCGGCACTGACCAGAACTCTATGGGGAGGGGCTCTGGTTCACTGGCAGAAGAAGAAGAATTGGATTTATACGCCACCCTTCACTTGGAGTGTCAGAGCGACTTACAATCTTCTTCCCTTTCCCTCCCCACAACTGACACCCTGTGAGTAGGTGGGGCTGAGAGAGCTCTGAGAGAACTGCTCCTCTTGAGAGAACAGCTCTGAGAGAACTGTGACTGGCCCAAGGTCACCCAGCTGGCTGCACGTGGAGGAGTGGGGAATCAAACCCGGTTCTCCAGATTAGAGTCCGCCACTCTTAACCACTACACCAAACTGACATGCGAAAGGTCCCAGGTTCAATCCCTGGCATCTCCAGTTTAGTGGATCAGATAGGAGGTGATGTGAAAGACTTCAGCCTGAGACCCTGGAGAGCCGCTGTGGACCTGAGTAGACAATACTGACTTTGACGGACTGATGGTCTGATTCAGTATAAGGCAGCTTCACGTGTTCATATGTTCCCATCAGAATGCAATGATAAAATAAGTATGAAGAAGAGAAGAAGAAGAGATTGGATTTATACCCCGCCCTTCACTTGGAGTCTCAGAGCGGCTTACAAACTCCTCTCCCTTCCCCTCCCCACAACAGACACCCTGTGAGGTGGGTGGGGCTGAGAGAACTCTGACAGGAACTGCTCTTTTTCAAGGACAGCTGTGCCAGAGCTTGCGACTGACCCAAGGTCACATCAGCAGGTGCAAGTGGAGGAGTGGGGAATCAAACCCGGTTCTCCCAGATTAGAGTCCGCACACTTCACCACTACACCAAACACCAATATGAGCAGCACAGTACTGAAGATGGCCATCTTCATTTCCTTTTGCTGACAAAAGGTAAGTCAGAGATTTACTGTACCGATAAAGGACAATTATTTCCTTGGCTTTCCCTTAGGTGCAATATATACTAGGTGAGAAAATAAAGGTCCTTTCACTCTCACATGCTGCATGGGATGTCTATGTAATGATCTCCCCAGAAATCTAAGTTGCTTGCTGTGCTCGACAGGTGGGATCCAGCACAGCAATTCTGTAGGCACCAGGGGTCCATCCAACTGAGCATAAATTTCTCTGCTTCTCCCCTCCCATGGCAGCCAGAAAGTCCTCCTGACATCCTGCTCCTACGGGACAGGGTATTCTAATCTCTGGAATCATTTAATCATGGATAAGATTACAGATAAATTAGATTATCTTCAACCATCTTACAAAATTGATGCCTTCTATGGCAGATGGAGCTCAATCCTAGAGAATTTGGAATGCATTTTGGAACGGATAAGTAGTACTCAACAATCTCATTATTATAATTTTATCCATCAAGACTGGGTGTTATAATCACTGTGTTGTATATTATTTTTGATCCATGCGGATAATTTCAAATATTCTCCTTTTGTAACACTTGCGCAAACCTTTCATTTGTATTTATATTAATGTTGATGGTCTAATAGTTAAAGTTTGTTGTTGTGATTATATATTAATAAAATTATTTTAAAAAAGAAAAAAAGAAATCCAAGTTGCTTGCTGTGATCGACAGGTGGGATCCAGCACAGCAATTCTGTAGGCACCAGGGGTCCATCCAACTGAGCATAGATTTCTCTGCTTCTCCCCTCCCATGGCAGCCAGAAAGTCCCCCTGACATCCTGCTCCTACGGGACAGGGGACCCACAAGAACAGGATTTGGGGGGTATTTGGGCTGCCACAAGAGAAGGAGTCCAGAACTTGAGCTCTGCAGGTGGAGCTCCTTGAATCTGCAGAAATGCTGTACTCAATCCAACTCGACATGTTTGCAGATCTGAAATCCAGTCTTACAGTCAACCTGAAGGCTTTCCTCCAGTCAGACACCACATACAGCACTGCTATATTCCCGGGGACAGGCTCTCATTCACCCAAAAGGAACACTATGAAGATTTCTATGTAAAACAAGCTATCACATTAGATCATGATAACTGCAGTCTAGAACACAGTAGACATAAACATATTGTCAAGGATATGTTGATTAAATGTGACTAATCTTGTACATAATATGCCATATACTGCCATTGAGAGCCAGCATGGTGTAGTAGTTAAGAGCAGCGGACTCTAATCTGGACAGCTGGGTTTGATTTCCCACTCCTCCTCCCCATGAAGCCTGCTGGGTGACCTTGGGTCAGTCACAGTTCTCTGAGAACTCTCTCAGCCCCACCTACCTCACAAGGTGACTGTTTGGGGAGAGGAAGGGAAGGAGATTGTAAGCCGCTTTGAGAATCCTTAGGGTAGAGAAAAGCAGGGTATAAAAACCAACTCTACTTCTTCTAATATGTATGACATAGAATATTGAAGAGTCTGGTGTTTCCAATGTTACAAGTTTAACATTATTCAAATATGCTGGTGCCCTATTCTGACTGTATGTAACACTTTATCTGCAAAGAATATACTTTCTTTTTCTTACTATAAAATTTGTGTATTCTGCTTTCGGCATTTAGTTTTCCTACCTTCCAGATGGCAAAAAAATAAATAAATACAGGTGCAGCTCTCCGTAGTATATTGTATATATTCACAATTTTGCTTGCAAAAAGTTACAGCATTTATATTTTTGAATGTCATACATATGCTAAATACTAGACTCTTGAAGGCTAACTGAACTATAAATTATAAATTGTATGTCATTAAAGTAATAAGGATTAGGTGAGATAAGAAAGTGCAATATATTTCAATTTCCCCTCCCCAAATGGGAAAAAAACCACATTTGTTTTCCCCATATGACTTCCATGTTTCTGGAAATTATATATCTCAGCAGGGGTGTCAAACATGCGGCCCAGGGCAGGATCAGGCCCCCCGGAGGGCTTCTATGAGGCCCACAGTGGAACTGGCTGTCTTTTGCTTCTTCTTCCAGTTCTGCTGCTGCTGTGTCATCGTAGGTTTGCAGCTTACAGATACACATCTGAACAGCATACTCAAGATTGCAACAGCACAGACATTTTGATGCAATAATTCAGAGCAAGAGGTGTCAGTTATCAGACACTGTTAAATAAACAAAATATTGCAAGAGTGCTAATGTTTTAAGCATGATTTTAAGTTAAAAAAACCCTTTGTGTTTGTGTTCTTTATAAAGTTTATATCTCCGCTACTTGGCATTACATTTTATGACACACATGGCCCGGCCCAACAAGGTCTCATTTATGTCAGATCCAGCCCCCATAACAAATGAGTTCGATACCCCTGGCCTAGAGCCTATTAAAATTCAGAATCACTGTGGATCTTCTGCAAGATTTAACGAGAGAGGTTAATAAGAATAAAAAGGTACTCTGAAAGGAGAAAAATAAAGCTGATTTAAAATCTCACCTCGTAGCATTCGCAATAGTTTTTGAGGCATCCGGACCGCTTGCAGTTGCAACCTTTGCTGTGCCGCCTGTCTGACTCCCCTTCCTTTCCCTTCCCAATTTTGGGCTTGAAGGCCTCGGGGTTTCTGTCAAGGCAGGCCTAGCAAGGCAGACACAAAAAAGTCAGTCACAGAATGTGCAGGGAAACACGGGCTAGAGAAGGATCCCCAATGCAGTGCCTATGGGCGCCTGCCAACACCTCCCCTGGAACCCACCAACTATTACTAGAAAATGGAATGGGCCAGGTGGGGCTTCTACCAAGCAATCCTTCTGTTTGGCCACTGGAGATCTGAATGGCTTAGCATTTCAGTGCTAAGGTCATTTTGGTGCATTTTCCCATACTGGAAAGCAATGTAACAAGGTCCAAAGGCTTTTGTCCAGAGCCACCCAATCCAAGAGGGAAATGCTACCTCTTTGTCACTGTGCTAGAAAGGTACACTTATGCTGCTCTTAGAAGGGCCATGTAAAAGTGGCATAGGCCGCAAAACAGGAATTCTTCAGTCTACATCAAATCTTGCTTTTCTCTTACTGGGGCTGCATGTTGCCCGTTCAGATTTTGGAAGAGCCAACCGCACAGGTGTAAAGAAACTCAACATTTGGGCACATTTTATGCAACAGTAGATCAACGCATTACCCAACTAGGTGGTGGGCCTGGGCACTTATCTGTCAAGGTCTTCATGCCTTTTGCCAAACTGACATAAAAATTAAAAATAAGAACGACTCCAGAAGTCGTTCTCATGCTTAAGAGCATGCAAAGGGGTGGGGAGGACCAACAACACAAACTGTGACAAGCAACTATGGACAGCTTGAGCAGCTGCTCCCCAACTCAGAGCACAACATGCAAGGAGCTGCAACAATTGTAATAGGACTTTTATACAGTCTTGAATAGATGGAAAGGAGGCAAGCACCAAATCTTTGTTGTTATCTATTTGATCAACGGTGATGAAAAATCATAAGCTAATGCAAACACACTCAATTCTTCTGTCTACATCAAAAGCTTTGGCAGTAATGGCCACTACAGCACAAGGATCTTTGTGTGTGACCAAAGGTAAGCTGTGGCAGACATTTTGTGGCTGGCGGCACCCACCATGCTGTGTCAGAATTCTAAAGGTGCCCTCAGGGTCAAAAAGGGTTGGGGTCCGCTGTGCTAGAGACTCAAGCCCCAGTCTGATAAAGGAAAAAGTAATTTGTTCATCCGACTCAGACAGTAAACAGTCTAAGATCCTCTGCCCACTCCCCCCCCCCAAGGAGGATCACTAAGCAAGAAGGTTGCTCTCCTTCCATGAATCCCAGCAAGCTCAGTAATAATATGGATTCCCCGGGATTTACCTTGATTGCTTTTTGTCTATCGTTTTCATGGTCCAGGTTATTATAACAATTTGTACAGTTGCAGTTGTTGCAGAACTCACCGTTGGCAAAGCAGTCACAATACCTGAAAGGAAATCCCAGGGAGGGCTTGAAAACCAGAAGTCTGCACAGGGTGTGCTAAACTGAACACAGGAGTTCCAGAAGACCCTCCAACCATCCTCGTGCCCGGACAAAACCACCCCCCTTCCCAAAAGGGTTCGATCCAGCAACTCTCAAAAACTTTGCCGTAATGAGGGTTGTTAAGTGAAAAGGCAGACACCTCCCAGCAAAGTGAAAAGTTTCCAGCCCAGAGCTAAGGGACATCCATGCTTAGCAGAGGACACCCCCGCTAACATTTCCCCCGTGGCAACAAGCTGACCTGGCTTGGTCCCAAGGGAAAAAGACAAAGGTAGATCTTCTGTCAGTGTGGAAGCTGCAGAACAGTGATTCACGGCTACTGAGCCAAAACACTACTTGCACTGTACCACGATCGGCCAATGACATACCAACAGCCACCCCCAATATGGTGAAGTGCAGTCTGACAGCAACGTGTTTGCTTTCAAGACCAATACGGTATTTGACTCTCAAGGAATGCATCACACCAAAAAAGGCCTCAAACTGTCAACCACAGTGCTCAGTGGCAGTGTGTGTTTCTTAAGATGTGAATGCACAAACAGACCATCTGCTGCAAAGTAGATTTGGATGAAGCAGCACCCTTAAAAGCTGAAATATGGGGGACATCTAATCTCCATTTGTTACATAAGAAGAGATTTCTTTCCCCCAACATATGCATCATGGATTGAAAAAAATGTGTGTGTTTTTTAAAAAAAAAAAAATCCAAGGGGAGCAACACACCAAAGGCTATACTTACAACTTCAGACACAGAGATTTTGTACAATTGCACGGTTTTCGGGGACGATTTGCAGACTCAGAAGGTATTATTCTAGAAGACAAACAATTTTAACAATGGCTTGAGCTTCTTCCTCAAAATCAACAATGTAGACCAGCTACTGATAATTGGCCATTTGAGTTGCATGACAAAGAATATCCATCCACCCATCCAATTCCCCCAGATCAACCTAGTCAATATAACCTACCCTGTCCCACTATCACATACCAGGAGCATCACAAAGTAAATATAGCTCCACAAGAGAATATACCAGAGCACACACACACACACAATCGTACAGTGGCCTGGAGAGAACTGCTATTGTGTCGCACATGTTTTGGCCAATGGAAATCTGAGAAACTTATTTGACGGGCTACCATCATCTAGACATTCTATCTCCATTTAAGATTGGCCAAGAATGTCCTCTTACAACTGGATTTGAGTCTCTGAAGAAATGCATTTTTTCCTGGGAGGTTTGAAAAGAGCGAAACCTCCACTTTGTCTTAAAAAAAAAAAAATTCCCCCTGGGCAGAGAACAGGCTAGGAAGGAGGAAGTCAGTTCAATGGCTCTCCAGATGTAACTCAGCCCACCTTCATGCAAATGCTAATAGATCTAGCAAGAGAGATAATAGGTGGGAACAGGGAACAGAGATTTGGAGGACTTTAGACTAGAGAGACTCCAGGGATAATCTCCAGGAAAAGCTTCCTTGACCTGGCCTGACCAGGGTCAGGGGGAGGAGAAACAGATATGATCAAAACTGCTGGCAGCAAGGAGGACAGTCTCTTTCTTTGAGTGCTGAGAGCACATGGACCTCTCCTCTTGGAGGGCAGCTATTTTTGACCATGTGTCGGCCTAAAGAGCTGGAGGGAGCTTCAAGGTACTGGTCCTTTGTAGAGATTTGTAACTATCTAAGCCAGTGGTGGCGAACCTATGGCGTGGGTGCCAGAGGTGGCACTCAGAGCCCTCTCAGTGGGCACGCGTGCCATCACCCCAGCCAGGCCCAGACAATCACGAAAGTGTCGAATTATCTGCCAAATAATTTTAAGTAAATGAAAGCATTTGGGATTGCTTTCCTTACTTTGTTTGGATCATCTTAAGTTAATGTATGAGGGGGGATTTCTAAAGTAAAACCTCAGTATTCAGGTTAAATTGCCGTGCTGGCAGTTTGCGATAAATAAGTGGGTTTTGGGTCGCAGTTTGGGTACTCGGTCTCTAAAAGGTTCGCCATCACTGATCAAAGCTAAAGGGGCCTGTCCTATATTTTAATGTCTGATAGGGCATGTATAGAGAGAGAGGGACAGAGGATTTGCATTTTAACCATTTCTTTTTGAATCCCTTGCTCAATTTGGTGCTGTGCTAAAAATATGCTTATAAGCATTTTCTTTTTAATAAATATTTTATAACGTTGGATGCTGGGAGTAGTTTATCTGTACCACATAGATATCCACCATCTAGGACACACTATTTTAAAAGGAGCACCAGGGGAAGGCAGGGAGTTGGTAAGTGGTTATTCCTCCAAGGGCACACAAGGCAGTAAACTGTCCCTGTGGTGACCAGGCACTGGGCAGTGGGAGACATCTTTCCTTATATATAATTGAGTAGTAGGGTGGCACTTTCTGAACATTCCACATGTTCCTAAATCAGTTGGCTCCATGATGTGTCACTCAGAAGCTGTCCCTATCCACTGGCTGCGTTGCCTGAGTCCTGCCCATGTTGGCGGTTTCCAGCTCTCCCATTAGCTCTGCAATGCACTCCATCAGCCATTGGGCTGTCAATCGCCACTCAAGAGTACTCGCGTGCCATTGGCCAGGTGCTGGGTCTGCTCCTCTTCCCCGCCCATTCCCCGATCAGCCACTGTTCCCTGCCAGAAGCACTGGCAAACGGCTGTGTCTCCCGATGAATCCTGCTTGGCTCCTCTGTGGGACTAAGTTTTCCCTCAGTGGCTGTTGGTAGGCAACCAAGCTTGGTTCTGTCAGTAAAAAGACAAAGAAAGGAAACCCTTTCCAGCCTTTGGGGCTAGTCCTGACTAGAGTTGCCGAAGCCAGAGTTTGGGGAGGAGAGAGGCCTCAGCTGAATAGAATGCCATAGAGATGTACGCATACACACAACGGAATTTGCATATACTACCATTTCACATGACAGCTTTTTCTAAGTGTGCTGCATGAGTAACATTAGTTTACACGTCAACAATTCTAATCCATGAAGTTAACACTCAACATTCTTCCCACTTCAATGAAACAGATTCTTGTTGATGTGTAAACTAATGTTACTCATGCAGCACACTTAGAAAAAGCTATCATGTGAAACAGTAGTATATGCAGATTCCGTTGTGTGTATGAGTACCTCTTTATTACTTGTTGAAGAAATACTACTCACTGCAAAACAGTGGTCTAAATATATTTTCATAATACTACATCACGGCTGTTTTCATCATTGTTTGTAATCTCCAGGTGGGGGCTGGAGATCACTCAGAATTACAACTGCTCTCCAGGAAGGAGGGGGGAGGAGATGGAAAGCTGATATCAGAGGGGCAGATAATGGCAGGTTGATACTTGGCTGGGAAGGAGACAGAGTTGGCAACTCCAGGTTGGGAAATTCATGAAGATTTGAGGGGTGGAGCCTGGAGAGGGTGAGGTTTGAGGAGGGGTGGGACCTCAGGTACAATGCCATAGACTCTACCCTCCAAATCAGCCATTTCCTCCTGTGGAACCATTGTTGCCAATCTTCAGGGGAGGGATGGAGATCACTCAGAATTACAACTGCTCTTCAGATGGTAGAGATCAGTTCCCCTGGAGAAAATGGCGGACTCTGTGTCATTATACCCTGCTGAGGTCGCTACAGCAAACTGACGCTGAGTACCCAAGGCCGGGGTACTCCCAGAGCCTCTTTCTAGAGCTCATTGTATTTATTTCCACAACGGGCCTTATTCCTAGTAAGAACATAAAGAGAAGCCAATGCTGGATCAGGCCAATGGCCCATCCAGTCCAACACTCTGTCACACAGTGGCCAAAAATACCAGGTGCTTTCAGGAGGTCCATCAGTGGGAACAGTGCCTGGCAGGTAGGTAGCAAGGCCTCAGAACTGGAAGGGAAGCTGGGAGTCCTGACCATCCCAGTGGGCAATTCCTCACAAAGCTCAGGTGGTGCTGGTGAGTTACTGAAGAGAAAGAAAAGCCTCTCCAGGTGTTGAGAAAAACCTAGGAGGGTAGGACGGAATAGGCCTACAGGCCAAAGCAGGCCTGTTCTGCCACAGAGTCCAATAGAACTTTAGAGACCAACAAGATTTTCAGGGTATGAGCGTTCAAGAGTCAAAGCAGAAATACTAGTAGGAATGGAGATCCCTGAGTCCTTATATCCCAGTCTAAATAATGGAACCCCCTCCATGGCTGAATAGAGACAGAGGATTCTTATCTCACTACCGATGCTAATTTTCTGCCCCTAAGCATTTCTCCTCTCCTGTTCTAATCGTGCTGATTACACTTTGCATGATACCTCTGCATCCTGACTCCCCTCCCACTTTCAGACTGGGTTATAAAGAGGATTCAGGGATCTCCATTCCTACTTGCATCTGACAAAGGGAGCCTTGACTCTCAAAAGCTCGGCCCCCCCCCCCAAAAAAAAATATTGTTGGTCCCTAAGGTGCTACTGGACTCAGATCAAGCAGTTCTAGTGCAGACCAACACGACTACCCTCTGAAACCCTCTTACAACTGATATCTGCAAGTCAAATTCTCCATAAATTTTTAATCTATTTTACCAGTCTGGTTGCAAGTTTCTAATACACAGTTATTTCCTGTGAGCCTTGGAGGTGGGATGAATTGCTGAACACATCAAAACAAATAAATAAAATGACACCGGCCGGTGAGCTAAGACCACACACTAGACAGAAAGCAGACAAGCCCTTTGGGCTCCATTAGTTAATCTGCTCAGGGGAAAAACAACTCAACTTTAAATAGTGCTGGGATCTCAGCTCTTGTAGTAGCTGGATACCAAATAACTCCCAATAGAGCTTCCAAGCCCTTCCCCTTTCATTGTGGTCAGAAGACAGTACACAATTTTTAAAACTTATCTATGAAAATACGCACCCATTGAATGGCACTCGGGCTTGGGTTTGGATGCTAGATGTCCCACTGAGACCAGAGTTGCTTGCTATGGATACATAGGAGGACTGCTGTAGCTAACAAAAACACAAAGTTAGCACACAACATACTGTTTGCTGATTAGAACTTTGACAAATAGATACACTGATCACATACTCCTTTTATTCTGCACTTCTGGGATCAGAAGGTAAGATGGCATTTCTGTTTCTCAGAATGGAGACTTGGACCTCAGAGTCCATTTCCAACAATGGGATGTTACTTCAGGGGGGGGGGGGCAGATTTCTCTAGATTCCTTCTTTCCATTGCATATCCCCACACTTGCACCCGTGAGTATCTTCCAATCCCCAGGAAGTAGGCTGTGGTAGGAGAGCAAGTAAGGAAAATCCCACTCTGGGTGGAAGCCTTACACCTCTTTTGTTGCATTGTAGTCACAGATGAGCAAAGTAACTAGAAAAAAAATACTTTTCCAACATGAATCCTTAACATCTCAAAACTGTACCACACTATTTTCTTGTGCCAAGATCAGAAAAATTCAGCAACAGTTACCATGTGTGGTGAACTACTAGCTGAAAATTGGCTTAAGATGCTAAAGCTAGTTTTACAACTTAAAAGTTCTCTCACTTTCTTATAGCTGGATTTCATGGTCTGATGAAACTACAGAACCTAGGAAACTGACCTGCATCTTGTTCTCTTTGGGGGGAAAAACAATATAGTTTTTCATGCTCCATAGCTATGGTATTCGGGTTTTTAAAACTACTGGGGGCTTTTCATACACCTCTCTTTAGTACAAAGGCTCTTGGGATTAATTCTGTGATACAAAAAAATCAGTCAATACGAACCAAGTTGTCAGCTAAAAAAATCCAGCTGCCTATTTTGAGACAAAATAGGTGGGTAACCTTGGGGCAGGGCGGGAATAACCAATCAACTGCTCTTTCTGCTTTGGCCTTACACTGGGCTGATAATGGCTTTGACATTCCCTACCTTTATTTTTTGGTATAAGTAAATTGTTTGTATTCTGCCTATATTACAGTGCAGTCAGCTTACTTTGCTTGCTTTTCAACACTGCTGGGACTGTAGAAGCTAGAAAAGCCGTCTGCAAGTGGCCGAATGTTCTACATAGTTTTTTCCCTTGGAAATGCAGAAAAGTCTTCAAAGACAATGGTGAGTCAGATGGTCTCTATTTTCTTCTATCCCCTCATCTCATCCCCAGCTTTGGCTAACATCTTTTCTTGACCCTGGTGGCTGGATGGTACAGTACAGCAATTACGGTCCCAGGCTCACAATTAATTTAATCAGATTCATGTGGGTTCCCCCCCCCCCAGTTTTTTTCACACGCTCACTTCATTTGAATGGTCTAATTTTGCTTTTCAGATTCAGAATTTTAAACCAGCTCTTCCTCTACTAAGAAACTGATGTCCCATCTATCGTCTATAATGCTTCGTTCCCAGAATGCTCTTGGACCTTACACACCTGATAACTCTGTTTCTCCTACTGCTTTACTCTTCTAGCTGAGAGAAATCTTGCTTTCCAGTTTCAGCTGTGATTAGAGAGCAGATGGGGCTCGGTCTGAGTTTCAAAGCATTATTCTAAGAGCTGGTGGGAAGGAAATCCCTGACAGGCATTAGGTTACATACACTTCTGGCAAAAAAAAAGCACTTTTTCCAGTGGTTGCAATAGTTCATTGAGGTTATTCTTTGTCTCCACTTGTTTTAGGGATCGGGGTTGAAAGGGCCTCTCTTCTCCACTTATTTTTCCCTTCCACTGCTATTTGGCTGAGATCCTTCTCATTTCCCTTTGTGGCTGGAGATATGCCGCACTTCAAGCACTTTACCAACTCAAACTCCACCTGCTCCCACGAGTTGCCATTCTGCAGCTCGTAATTCTTAGTATCACTGCTCTGCAAATTCTCTGGCTATAAAAAGGGAAAAAGTCATCCAGTAGGTGAGCTCAGTGCTTTGTACTCCGTACAGAGCTGTTCTCAGCTATAATTGTCTATTTGGCGGGATGACACCGATTGACGATCCCAGTCAGGTGGAGGTGGTGGAGGAAAAGCCCATGGGTATGGGTATCGGCTTCCATACAAGTAATGCCACTGTCTCTCATCCCAGGTTAAAGTAGGGGATGCCGGTCGGTGTCGATCATCGACTCCACGTTCCGGGGAAGCATGAGAGGATTGACGACTCGACATATCAGATTGCGACTGATTTGTCTGCTGAGTAAGGTCGATGTCGAGATCTGAACCAATCAGGTGATGAGGTTCTTGCGTGAGATCTCGACCTTGACTAGCTGAAACCTTATGGACTTTCGACTTGTCCGTTTTAGGTTTCTTCGACTGCTGTGAGTCTTTGCCCTGCTTCCGGATCTTGGAAGGTACGGCATCAGATATCCCCTGCTTCCGGATCTTGGAAGGTACGGGGTGGTCTTTTATCGGCGTCGATCGTTTCGGTGCCGAAGCATCGATTGCGACCGTCGACGTCGATGGTCCCGAAACGGGAGGACAAGTGTCCGCAGCCAGGGTGGACATCGAGGCGTGCCCGGACGTGTCCAACGGCGAAGACGACTGTGGAGATAGCGCCTTCTCCATCAAAGCCAAGTGCAGACGAGCTGCCCTGTTTTTTCTCGTCTGGTTCGAGAATTTCTGGCAATGTCCGCACTTAGAAACACAGTGCGACTCCCCTAAACAGACGAGGCAAAGCGAATGCCCGTCGGTGGGAGATATTTTAAGGCCGCAAGTCTTACACCGTTTGAAACAACCCCACCGCGGGGCCATAGGCCAGCGGAGGGGGAAACGTTAAAGACAAGGAACAAACACACCGAAGAAAAAAATGCTAACTACAAAAAACAAAATAAAGAAAAGGAAACTAACTAAACGCAAGTTTAGCAAAAAGTTAGGTACTCAACAGACCGAAGCAGAAGGCGTTCTACCAGCGCGGCGGTCAGAAAAGAACTGGCGGGATCTGCGTGCCCCTCCTTGGTCATGCGCAGTGGAGCCGGCGCGTGACCTGGGAGAGGCGCGAAAATCCCTTTTGCTAGCTACCGGTACCGAGAAGGTCAGCGCAGGCGCAGTATATCCCAAGGGTGTGATGCACAGAGACCACGAAGAAGATTGCACAGATATTCCCTAGCTATACCAATCTATATACCTTCTAAGAATGTATAGCCTCTCACCTGTGCTACCACCATTATCCAGAAATTGCTTCAGATTCTAAAATTGTGAGCATGCTGCAAGAGCAGCCAAAGTGTGCCTTGAGAAAAAGGCAAGCCACCACATCTCATCCTCTACTCTTTGCCCATAACAACAGTGATTTACCTTTTGTCTCCACCAATATACAGATAGTGACATCGCACTAAAGAATAAGAATGCACTAGAATTCCCCAATATAGACTGCAAAAGACCTGACAGTTACAAGAAAACCCCAGAAGTACTACCATGGGAGCTGATACAGTAAACAAGTGCATGGGTTTTCAGCATAAAAGTGAAGTATGCTTCTGATTTTAATCTGGGGAAAATATATACATAAAAAAGCCCCTGTGCTCTAAGGATACCCAACTTTCAGGAGACAACAGACTGGAATTTGCTAAGAATATAAGAGAAGCCATGTTGGATCAAGCCAATGGTCCATCCAGGCCAACACTGTGTCACACAGTGGCCAAAAATACCAGGTGCCATCAGGAGGTCCACCAGTGGGGCCAGAACTACAGATGCCCTCCCACTGTTGCCCCCCAAGGACCAAGAATACAGAGCATCACTGCCCCAGATAGAATGTTCCATCTATACCTTGTGGCTAGTAGCCACTGATGGATCTCTGCTCCAGATGTTTATCCACTCCCCTCTTGAAGCTGTCTGTGCTTGTAGCCGCCACCACTTCCTGTGGCAGTGAATCCCATGTGCTAATTACTCTTTGGATGAAGAACTGCTTCCTTTTATCGGTTCTAAACCTACTGCTCATTAATTTCCTCGAGTGCCGACAAGTTCTTGTATAGCGATAAAGGGAGAAAAGTACTTCTTTCTGTAGCAAATGTTTCCAACCAACAAAACACTGAGGCCAGGAAATCTTGTTGAACTCCGAAAGAACCTGAATTCTTCAGACTGCCATATTAACAAAGCCCCCTCTCTGGCCAAATGTAATAGGTATATGAGTGACAAACTTCTTAATCATTACCTATTTTGATCAATTTAATCTCCATGTCAGCATTATACCTGTGTGACGTACTGAGCCGGGAGAACTGCATATCCCATGTTCCCTGTGCCAGGGGCCGGAGCCAGCACAGTGCCCGGAGGAAGGTTGGTAAGGTTCGGCTGGATCTGCGGCAGTGGTGTGGCAGGCATAATAAGTCTTTGCTGTGGCTGGCTTGTCGTAACTATCTGCGAAGTTGCGTTAACAGGTTTGGGTGCCACCTGCAAGAAAGGAGATGGTCATGAAATCTCCAGTATATATAAGGTCTTACTCTTCTGCAGACAGCTGCTTTGTAAAGGTCTTCAGATATTCCAAGTAAACGGAACTGTCTTTGAAAAACCTGGGATTCATAATAAGTAGTCTCACCCAGAGTTCTCCGTTACCTACTCACCAGCCTAAGAAACATGAAAACAACAACAAAAGAATGCACATGGCACTTACTTGTTTGACAGTCTGCGCAGCAGGTACGATTGGGACAGACATCCGCACAGGTGTTGCATTCACCACCATCGGCTTAGCTGTTCAGAGAGAAACGCGATCAGACGTGTTAGCACGCAAGCTTCTGCACAGAGACACAGAATGCTGGGCAAGCTCAGCAGGTCATTATGGTTAGGTTCAAGGCCAGGTGTCTCTTGGAGGCCAGCAAGATTTTCGGGATATGAGCTTTCCAGGGTCAAAGTTCCCGTTGTCAAATGGGAGTTTTGACTCTGGAAAACTGATGCCCTGAGAATCTTGTTGGCCTCTCAGGTGCTCCCTGACTCAAATCCAGCTGTTCTGTTGCAGACCATCATGGCTGTCCTCTGAAATGAGGTCATCTGAGTACATCCTCATTTTGGTGCATTTTTGCATACTGGAAAGCAATGTGACAAGGTCCAAAGGCTTTTGCCGAGAGCCACCCAATCCAAGAGGGAAATGCTACCTCTTTGTCATATCACTGTGCTAGAAAGGTACACTTATGCTGCTCTAAGAAGAGCCATGTAAAAGTGGCATAGGCCGCAAAACAGGAATTCTTCAGTCTACATCAAATCCTGCTTTTTTCTTACTGGGGCTGCATGTTGCCCGTTCAGATTTTGGAAGAGCCAACCGCACAGGTGTAAAGAAACGCAACATTTGGGCACATTTTATGCAACAGTAGATCAACGCATTACCCAACTAGGTGGTGGGCCTGGGCACTTATCTCTTAAGGTCTTCATGCCTTTTGCCAAACTGACATAAAAATTAAAAATAAGAACGACTCCAGAAGTCGTTCTCATGCTTAAGAGCATGCAAAGGGGCGGGGAGGACCAACAACACAAACTGTGACAAGCACCTATGGACAGCTTGAGCAGCTGCTCCCCAACTCAGAGCACAGCATGCACAGAGCTGCAACAATTGCAATAGGACTTTTATACAGTCGTGAATAAATGGAAAGGAGGCAAGCACCAAATCTCTGTTGTTATCTATTTGATCAACGGTTATGGAAAATCATGATAAGCTAATGCAAACACACTCAACTTTTACAGCACTTCCTAGAGAAATTCAGAGACAAAAAAAGAACACAAAAGACTTGATTTAGTATTTGAACCAAGGCATAAAAAGAACACAAAAGACTTGTGCCCAGGCACAACACAGTCTTTTGGGAAATAAGTCAGCCATAACACAGCTAGGCAGAGAGCCTCTGTAAACAAGGGCTCGTGACCAAACCACTAATCCAAGCATTACGAGGAAACACAGAAGAGCTGGCATCCGACCTGCACAAACCCATCTTTGCCCAGTGCAAACATTAGCGCTTCTCCAATTCTCTACTCCCTTTCCTTATTTGTTCTTCCTCATAAACCCATTCGAACCACAAAAGGAAACACTCAGCTAAGAACAGCTAGATTCCAGTCCAGTAGCACCTTAGAGACCAACAAGATTTTTGGGGTACAGAACTTTCGAGAATCCAAGTTCCCTTGGTTGGGTATTTTATTTTTGGTGTAAACAATCCAGGGTTGAGCAGTCTGAGTATTTATTGGCTACCTAAGTGTTGGGGGCTGGGTGCAGTCAGAGTCCAGGGTCAGCGTCTATGTCGGCCCAAAGGAAGGGTTCCAGGAGTCAGGCAAGGCAGAGTCATTCAGTCCGAAGTCTTACACAAAAGCAAGCAGGTCAGTAATGCTATTGGTCAATAGGAATTTAGTTCGTTTGTTTGTTTACCAGGCTTTAAAAATCACTGTGATTCTTGTGTCTTCCCATGAGTGTGGTGCTTGTTTCGCTTTCATTATTTAGTTAAATAATTCTGTCATAAATGGGAGTAATAGGATTCTGAATTGTTTGTAAAATTCTGGGCCATAACCATCTACGCCTGGAGATTTCCCATTTTTTAATGACCTCACCTATTCGCTTCAATTGGTTTAAAATATTGTTGTGCTCACTTTTTAAGTTCAGGAATATTCGGTTTTGGTAAATATTCATCAATTTTTTTCTTAAGATGGATTTTTCTGAGGTATATAATTTTTGAACATATTTAGCAAATTGCTCAGCTATTTGTTCCGTGTTCTTCTGCTGATTCAGAGCTGGCCATACAGGACTCCCCCCCCTCCCGAGAAGTCCGGTTGACCCACAAAACTAAAGTTCTACAAAGGATGGATTGAAGTAGGATCTCATCCCATTGCCATAAGAACATAAGAGATGCCAATGATGGATCAGGCCAAAGGCCCATCCAGCCCAACACTCCATCACACAGTGGCCAAAAATACCAGGTGCCATCAGGAGGTCCACCAGTGGGGCCAGGACATTAGAAGCCCTCCCACTGTTGACCCCCCCCCCCAAGCACCAAGAAGACAGAGCATCACTTGCCCCAGAGCCCCTATCTACACTTGTTAACCATGCAGGCTTTTTCCTATACCTATTTGTGCCTTTCCTAACCTGCGGAATATTTTTTTTGAGCTTCTAGGATCGTATTTTTAAATAGTTTCCAAGCTAAGTGGCTGTGTTAGTCTTTTTGGCGAATTCCCTATTTATACAAATGTTGAACTAAGCGGTGCAATCACTTTTACATCTCTCACCAGGTCTTGAGTGTTACTTAGGACCAAACCAAGGATAGCCTCTCCCCTGGTAGGTTAGTGACCATCTTGCTCCATAGCACAGTCATTTAGAGTGTCTAGAAACTCAATCTCTTTTTCTCGACTAGAACACATATTAACCCAATCAATGTGTGGGTAGTTAAAATCACCTATCTATCTTTTGATCTGGTGGGCGATAACAAACTCCCTGTGTTGTTTCCTTTTGGCCCCCCTATTTCAACCCATAGAACTTCCAGAAGCTAATCCAATTCTCTTAGCCTCTCAATCTTTCTGGACTTTATACCCTCTCTGACATACAGAACCACCCCACCTCCAACCCTTCCCACCCTAT